TCCTTGGGTTTCTGAGGTGGTATCACTACAGAAGTAGATTGCCCAACCTTCCTTCTGAGGAGTGACTGGTGGGTTTGAACCACCAGGCTCCTGGTTAGCAGTCAAGTGCCTCAGGCACTACGCTACTGTATTCTCTGTAGATTTTCTTGATCTGAATTCAGGAAATCCATAAGCTGTCCAGGTCCCCAGTGTCATTTGGTGACCAGAATATGGAACTATATAAAGCATCATCTTTTTCCTATCAAAACAATCATGTCATGTATCATGTGTCATGCCTGTTGTCCTTGTCTTGATTGATTGCATCTCAGGTAATCAATCAATCTCTCTCTCTCTCTCTCTCTCTCTCTCACACACACACACACAAACCCTTTAATCCATATTCTCCTTTACTTCAGTTTTCTAAATTTTACTCTTGTTCCTTAAATAAAATTTCTTTCTACCAACCTCTTTTCATGTAATTTGCAGACCAAAAATATTTTAACCAGGGTATAATGCCACTGCATAGATTTTAAAAAGAAGAAAAGCCAAATTAGCCACAATGAAAACCAAAACCACTACCATCGAGTTGATTCCGACTCATAGCAACCCCCATTGGGTTTCTGAGGCAGTAAATGTTTACAGAAGTGGATTGCTCCATGTTCTTTCCATGGAGCAGCTAGTGGGTTTGAACCGCCAACCTTCTGACTGGCAGTCAAATGCCTTAGGCACCATGCCACCAGAACTCCTTGAAGGAATACTGTAAATCTTTAAGTGCTGATCTCAAGGAAAGGAACCAAAGATTAAGAGGGAAGAGAATGTACTTCCTATTTTCTATCTTTTTAATTGATTTTATTTTTAACCTTGCCATATATTACTTTCATAGTATCTTTTTGTTGTTGTTTTTTAAATTATCCTTATGGTGATAGGACTGAGAGTAAAACTGTGGTCCATGGAGTTTTCAATGACTGATTATTTTGCAAGCAGATCACCAGGCTTTTTCTCTGAGCAGCTTTGGGGTGGATTCGAACAGCCAGCATTTTGAAAAGTAGCAGAGTGTTTAACCATATGTGCTACCCAGGGGCCCCATAATACATAGAGTAAACATTAGATCATACTTGCACTTTCCAGACTTTAATATATTATCCTTCCCCTTTCATTGTGAAACTTTGATAATCTCTTCATCCTTTTCTATACTGATATTAATATATGATTAATACAATAAAATAATAGTAATAGTTTTTCTGTGATCTTAAATAGAGGGTTTAATCAGCTTATCTGAATATACAATATTTGCTTCTGATACTGAACATGATCAAGTTTCATGATTCTGGATACTTCGTATGGAATATAGGAATGGTTTTTCTGCTCCAGTACTGCAGTAGATCATTAGCTATGTTATGCTGGAAATTTTTTTCTTTACTTTAATGAACCAGCCATTGTCTCTCTGTATATACAACAGAGAAGTGTTTTGCAACCACACATGATAAAAAACACACACACAAACAAAATTCCTAGTGGGAGAAGTTGGTGGGCTGATTGTGTCTCTGAGCCTCTCATCATCAGTGTTTCCCATTCACAGCAGTTATTGTTTAGGACTGTATTGTTCCTTATACATCAACTGATGAGTAGTAGCTATCATAGTTTATTGAAAGAATATGTTTTGTTTCAGGTTTTTTTAAAAGAAGGAAAGGGATAGTAATTCAGGTTTATAGTTCCCAGCCTATACTTGTGGCATTAAAAAAAAAAAAATGACAGAGGAAATGTTCACATTAATTTGACAAGCATTGTTAGTTATTATGTTTTTCAAATCCTTTTGTTTTAAAGTATCAATTGAGTTTGCAGTTATTTATAAAATACAAGGTATTCATCAGTGTGAAATAGTTGTTTATTTCCTTCACTTATTTCCTCTTATTAAAAGAAAAATTTGATCTCATATCAAAATACAATCCATTTGCTTATATTTGTCAGTTTCTATAAAATGTATTTAATACCACTGGGACAGAGGTTTAGAATAGTTGCAAGATTACTAAGGGTAAATGTGACAGAGTATTTTTTGAAGTCATGATGTATTTGGTATACTAACATGAATTTTTGTTATCCTTGTTTAACCACTAAGCAGAAAATGAACCTTCTCCTGTATTGTTCCATTCATATTCCTCTATACTCATTTAGCAGTCTGACACTTCCTTTGGCTGACAGATTAAAGGGCCAGTGTGGGATCTTTTGATGATGTGCAAAACAGCTTTCTTGGTCTAAGCTCCTTAGACTGTGGTAACCACTCAGAAGTTGAAATACTATTCGTTTACCCTAAAATTTGCCAGAAACTTGGTCTTATTTTCCATCCTGACACGCTTAAGAGGAACTTAATAGTTTAAAGGGTTTTTTTTCCTCTTATTTTTCAGTTTTGCTAAAGGAAATATGCAAACATAAAAAAAATAGCACTAAAGAAAAGGAAATATGTAAAACATAATGAAGAACTCAGAAATGTGCTTTTTCTTCTGGGATAGTCTATCAATAAGTGAGATAGTGATATTGATCACTAATTATGTGGCTTATCTAGCATTCCATTACTGTATATATTATTTCCTCCCTTATGAGAAAAGCAGTGTTTATTATCACAGGTGACAAAACACAGAAGAAAAAAACAAGCAGAAAGGTTACATTTAAGCCAGTTTCATATTTGCTCTTTTGCCTTTGTTCCCAAACCAGAAGCCAGTCAACCAAGTTAGTGAGAGTACAATTCACTTTCTCAGGTCACATCTCAGATCACTGAGATAGGCAGAGAGGACAGGTGCTAAGAAGATGAAAAGATAAACACTAAGTCATTCTTAGTGATACTTAACTAGATAGCTAAAGAAGGAATTTTGAAACACCTTTGCATTGCTGTTCAAATATTTACTAATTGAACTTGGGAAGAAGAAATTTTCTCCACCTGTTGTAGAATTCCTTGTCTTTTTCCTTCTTTAAATAGTGTCTCAAAGCCCCAAGAGAAGAGAGTAGTTTATCCAAGAAAGAAATATGAGCCTTGCTTATGGCATTTCAGGTATACTTGATGTGGGCTTAATTAAGCAAACACAATTTAGCAATCTTGTATTTGGCAAAACATTCTTTTATGTTACTTGACTGTTTATTTAGGAAATGACTTACCAGTTGGGTAGATTAGAATGATTACTACTAGGTTTCTTTTCATCCCTCACTGAGGCTCTGTTAGCACTGGCTGTAATCATACCCCAGTAAATGCAGGGAGGTTTGAATATAAGCATAACAATTGAAGGAGAAATAGAAAGAATTAAGCAGGGATTTTAGGATACAGTTTGTCTTTCAAATATTTGAACCTGTGTTACTGCATACTTTTTAAGTTTAGCATTATTATTTGTACATCTACGAAGTTTAAAAGACTTTAAAAACCACATACTGCACTGACCTTCTTAAGAAAGGAGTAAAGCTTAATAGAGAAATTACCCAGAAAGGATAGTACTTGTAAAGATATTACTAACATCTTTTATTTTACATTACCTGTGTTTGACAAATCTTTTTTGTAAGCTATACGTTTTTATTGTTTCTCTCCTTGGATTTTTAAGAGACTACTTTTGTTGCAGTGACCAGGAGTGCTGACAGCATTCATTCATTTAGGCTTATAGCTCAAGTAATAATTTAGTCGTTTCCTCTCTGGAGGCAGGGGAGTTAATGAGAAACACAGATTAGGACCCAAGATCTATTCTGAGATTAAGATAAGGTGCCTTAACAGAAAGCTTATGGTGAAATGAAAGATTGAGAAAATAATTATCCTTTTCTGAGGAAAATGTTGAATGATTCTAGGAAATTTTTAAAATTTTACATGGCTATAAATAGTCACATTTTTCTCCAGTGAAGCATTGTAATGTAATGTAGTCATTATAATATTTAATGCCTAATCTACTATTTACACATTTTGTTTGAACTTCTTTACAAGATATATAGAGGGAGTCCATATAAAGAAAAATTGCAGGGTGATTTTGGTTTTTTTATAGAAAGTTAATAGGTTTACATGTGAAAATGATTGTCTGTGAAAGAGAAACCAAACTTTCAATATCCTACTTTAGTTAAACTCTCTATAAAAAGCCTGTGAAACAGTTACAGTCCCAAGTACCAACCATCAGAAGTTCTTGTCATGGCATAAATTCAGCATATCAGGCCCTGGGTACTAGTCCCACGTGGGTATATTTTCAAAGCCAGTTGCTGGAATTGAAATGTAGCTGCAGTGCTTGAATCCCTTTGGGACACTTGGAAAACTTACCACCGTTTACAAACGACAAACCCTTGGGGGTAAAGCACTGAGATTCTGAGAAACATAAGGTCTGTTTTATTTAATTTCCTCCCATTTACCAAGAGTCATAATCTATTTTAGTAAATAAATTCAGGAAATTGGTAAAGCACTTTACTCCATCCGTTATTTATCAGTAATTAACATGACTGTCACGTTTTTCCTGGCTCTGGTGCTCCTGTATTGCTTACAGCTTCCCTTACATGACTGCCACCAGTTTATGTCTCTGGTAATGGGTGTTACTGAATTTAAACTACTTAAGCAAACAAAACAGCACAGACGTTGTTGCAGAGAAGCGTACTTCCTCTCCTTAACTTTAATAAATTAAGATTTCTAACTTCAGAGATTTTCTCTCTTGATTCTGGCATTCTTTTCAAATCATCCTTTCCACCCATGACTATTTTATACACTGAGATAAAATAAATGATAACTCATTCAATTCAAAGATGAGTCATCCCTCTCTTATTAAAATAACATGTATCTTAATAGCTTCAGTTTTTCATAAAGTAAAACTCAAGTTTTTCCTACCTTCATCAGCCACTGAGTGTTGTTTTCCATGATGTTTTCCAGTACTTGCAGTCTCTGCACTGAATCATCATAATCTAGTGGTGCATCCCTCTGAACAGCATTAGATACGTAGGAGCTAGAAGAGGAGCGACAGTTGTCCATCTCTGGTAGGAGAAAAGTATAGCTGCATGATCCATGCTGAACCTGATACTGCTTTTTCCCTATGCTGTCCATGCTTTTCTGAAAGTCATTGTAGGCTGCCGCTAAGACAAGATCACAGCTCAAAGTAAGGAAAACAATCTGCCACATTCTTCCTCTTTGGTAATAAACCACCAGTTTCACAGACTTGAAGGCACACAAGATCCAGAATACTCAGCCTCCCTCTAAAATGCAGGATTATGCTGCCATGGTTTAAGGTTGATCAATGAGTGTCTTTTTTCCTCCTTTTCAAGAAGCAAACCTGATTTTTAATGCTGTCTTCTCTCCAGTCATCCAGTAAACTGTCAGATTCCAGAAGAATAATCCTGGTCACTGTATCAGCTTTACAGTTCAGCCTTGTTTCTCTTTCCCCAGATTCTACAGTGTCAGGATCTGAATCAATCACTTTCCTTTCCTTATATGATAAGTTGATAAGAGCAGCCAGACATGTGTAGCTAGCTGCTCCGCCCTCTTGGCTTATCCGTTATCTTCCTGTAGGGGGGTTACCAGCTAGGCAACAGGAAAAATCGGAGCATAATGCTTGCTGTCCTACCAGGACTATATGCTGCACAAATCCTCTGGGAAAAACTGATCAGTTACAGGACCCTGGGGTATTTCATAGGCGCCACCCTAATTAAGTATTTTCTAGAGAGAGCAGTTGGTCTCTCTTGTCTGAAACTGATTTCACAATATGAAGCTGGTAAAATATCTGAGGTAAAAACTTTAATTTTAAAATACAGTGGAAGTTCCTGTTTTTTCCTTTAGGAAAAAATATACTACAAATATATCATGATTTTGGTTTATTTTTGTTATTAAAAATAAAGAGGAAGAAGTTTTGCACCTTTCCACGGGGGAAATAGTTGTATCGGTACTACTTGATTTTTGAACTATTAGTTCAAGTATACAAATTTTTTATATCCAAACAATTTGTTAGGAAGACTTGTTATATATGTTATCATGATACATTGTCACAGTAGAAAGATCAGATTTCAAGTTCTGACATTCTTTTAAACAAAGAAGCCTCTTTAATATTCAAAATAAACTTAAAATATACTAAACTAGTGAATAGTTCATTAAGTTACAATAGAGAAATCAGAATTCAAATAGAAGATGTTGAGAAAACAAATAGAGGAATAAATACATACTCTTCTCCTTTATATGTTAGGCTTTACTTGAAACCTATCGTTTTATAACATGTTATCCAAGATCAATTAAATAAGTCCCACTAGGCATTTGACTTAAGACACATCACTTCCCCATTGTAATTAAGCTCTAATATTCTTATTTGTAAAATACAGATATATATCCAAGATATATTTTTATTTCAATTCTTTGGTTTTGTAGATCCTACAGATTACTCCCTTTAATAATTGAAATTTAATACTTTAAAGATTAATGATATGTTAATTCATCAGCCAAAGTGTATGTATATATATTTGTGTGTGTGTGTGTGTGTGTGTATGTATATATATTAGCCTTTGCCATGATCTGTTATTTCTCAATATACAAGATTTATTATTCCCAGTAAGTAGTAGACTACCTGGTTCATTGACTTAATGGGCCACATCTAACCATGAAAGCCAAATATCAGTCTTTAATTTGTAAGATAAACTTTCAAAGGATTAAGGAATTATGCTCTTTATTTCTTAGGTGAATGTGGAATTTATATAGTGAATTTTGTATTCTCACAATGTTTTCAAGAGACCTAACTAGACCTTTTTTAAAAAAAAAATCCATTCTATTAATAGGCTGACTCTTCATTCTGATAGAGAAGAAATTTTTAACCTGAGGTTCATGGAGGGAAAGAATTCATGGGTTCCATGAACTTGGAAAGAAAGAAGGAAACACTTGTTATTTTTGACTAATTGCTAACCAAAATTTAGCCTTTCCTTCAATTATCAATAGGTAACAAACAGCAATGGTATTAACAATATCTGTAACGTTTTGTTAATAGAAATAATGGATTTTTTTTTTATTACAGACACCTCAAACTGTCTCTTATACTCAACACTTACTGTTATTATACCCAATCCTAGATCTTGCTTAATATCTGAATAAAGTGGCACAAATCTTTTTTTTTTTTTTGAGAAGGAATTTGTAGGCTTCAGCTGACTACTTCATTATAAAAGATTCACATTAATGGAAGAGGTTAAAAAAAAAAAAACAACCAAACACACTGCCGTCGAGTCGATTCAACTCATAGCAACCCCTCTTTGGGTTTCTGAGGCGGTATCTCTACAGAAAAAGTGGTGCACCAGATAATAGAAAAGTGCACCAAAATTTCAGTGTATGGGTTTTCACTAAGAGAACAAGTTGAAGTGTACTCATTCAGACAATGAAATGAAGGACTTATGTACACAGTTTGAAGATAAGAGCTGTGTTAGAACCCTTACGCTTTGTGACCTTGAGCAAATGCTTAACTTCTTTAAACCTCACTTTCCTAATTATAAAGTAAGGATAATGTTCTCGCTATCATTGTCAGGATTAAAATGATGTAGTAGTAAATCTAACATAGAAAGATTAGTTACTTTTCCCTTGGCTACTTTCCATTAAATAGAAATCAGTTTTTCCACTGTCAAATCTTATAAATGTGTCATTCTTTGATTGAATTTGATAGTGGATAAGGTGCAAATTTTTCCTTCTGGTAACCTTATTCCTTCCTCATGTGAAAAAGTATATTACAATATATTAATATTGAATATGTGGCTTTAAAAATCATTACTCTGTCTTCGAGGCAAATGGGGTGGTTTATAAAAGAAGATATAGGTAGAGGATGTCCCACAAGTACTTACTGTCTGTCAGTTTTGTATTAGACACTCTGCTAGGAACTACGGACCTAAAGATTAATACTTGAGGTTTCAGACTTAAAGCCAATAATACAGCGAAGAAGAGAGGCCCATACATAGATCAGATGTGAAGAGTGACTGATTCGTGAGTGCACGTAGAAGAAAAACATTGCTTCCAGGGGAGATACTATTCCTACGTGCAATTGTCATGGACACTGTCCTTTATTTAATCCTCTAAGGATCAGAACATGGAATGAGGAGTGCTTTGTTGATAGCTAAATGTGAATTATTGGAACCAGAGAGTCAGGAGAAATTCAAGTGATACCAGAGATTAGCAAACTTTTTAGTTAAAGAGTTAGATAGTAAATATTTTAGGCTTGCAAACCTTATGGTCACATATGCTACATCTGTAGCAGCTTCTCAACTTTGCATGAATAAAACTAGCACGCAGGCAGCCATACACAGTGCATAAACAAATGAATGTGACTGAGTTTGAATAAAGTTTTATTTATAGATACTTAAATTTGAATGTCATATAATTTTCACATGTCACGAAATAGTGTTCTTTGTGTTTGTTTGTTTTTTTCTCAACCAGTTCAAAATGTAAAAATCTTAGCTCACAGGCCATTCAAAACCAGGCAGTGGGCTGTAGTTTGCTGACCCTTGAGTTAGACCATAGGGAAATCTGCCAGCACAGAATGTGAAGTGGTCAGTAAGGCCACAGTAAAATACATAGCCAGCATAAACAGTAAAATCTCTGATCCCACAGATCATAGTATGACTTCTTAAAGAACTGTGAAGCATGAGACATGCCAGGGAAAGGGGAGTTGTGAAAGGGGTAGGAACGATTACCCAAACAGAAAATGCAGCTTCGGAGCTGGATATAAAATGCAATACAAGGGAAAAGTACTAGGAAAAATGACTTCAGGGTAACGCAAAACATCACACATGTGCAGGGGCCAGTCGCAGGCGGCACAGCACTAGAAGCAGAAGCAGCAAAGGCATTTTTGGAAGACACAGCTGAAAACTTGAATGTAAGAACTGCTCACTGAGGAAATACAGAGAAGCTCTAGAAATCCACTGACAGCCAGATTGTGAGGAGCAGCACGAGACCCTGCAAGGAAACAAAGCAAACTGGGGTGTAGAACCTTAAAAGGAAGACTAATTGTGGTAGTTAAAGTTGTATGTCAGCTTGGCTGGGCCTGGTTGAGTAGTTGGGCAGCTGAATGTAGATATTCCCCATGATGAGACTGGCAATCAACTCCATGGTGGGATCTACCACAAGCGGCTGAGCAGCTGCTTTAGGGAGGTGCTCTGCTTCCCATATATAAGCAACAGCCTTGGGAATGGTCTCCAGCTTATGGCACACTTGAACTCTGCCATGTAGCCATGTCATTGTTCAGCAGCCTGCCATGTTCTGTCGACCTTGGGACTTTCATTGGACTTGAATCAGTGGCCTGCCTCGTGGTTTGGTAACAGCGGGACTATGCCATTTTATTTGTTGACCTTGGGTTTGTTAGCCTCAGCAGCCAGCAGCTCCCTGAGGAAAGAGATGCCTCTAGCTTCAGTGGCCTGTGTGCAAGAGGCAGAGCTGAAGCCCAAGGTTGAGGGGCTTTCACCCAGCCCCTAGAGCCTGGCACTTTGAACTCAGACTTCTAGCCTCCCGAATTTTAAGAGAGTAAACTCCTGTTTGTTAAGACCATCCCGTTTGTGGTATATTTCCTGTCAGAGCGGTACTAGGTAACCAAAACACTAAGGCTAACCTAGTAAATAGGTAAACCTATTGCAATCAGTTACAGAGATGCCCACTGTAATTGTTCATGTAACTGTCTTACACTGTTCTCTTACTGCTTTTGTTATAGGAAGAGTACCAAACGAAGACTGTTGTGTTGATTTCCATACCCTTTGCCTGTGATTTTTCTGAGGGAATAGAGGTTGAACATAGTCCAGATCCTCTCCACTCTAAAATACATCTGACTGTGGTTCTTAGAACTGTTAATTTTCAAAGAGAATCTTGAGTTTTCTTCAATGACTTGCTGACAGGATAGCTAAAGACAGATGAGGCTATAAAATGAGAATACTATCGCAGGCTTCCCAAAATCAGTTTGCCTGCCCAACCAATTTTTTTTTTCCTAAACCTTTCTGCTGAGCATCTGTACATGTTGCTGTTTATTTCTTAATAATGCTTGTTTTCTCATTCATACTATATGTCATCTGCTGAATCTTCAGAGGCTCCCAGTTAGTCTCTGGCTTAAGTTTCAGTTATAAAGTTATACAGTTAAACCTGTGAGAGCCGGAACTCGTTGAAACTTCTAGGCTTTTCTGAGTCTTGCAAGTTTTCCACCTTTGAGAAGGTGTAGTCTTACCACTTTTCTATTGCTCATTTTAGTGTAAAACATTCATGTTTTCCTTCTTTGACAGGCTTCTGCCTTACACAGGTCCTAGCTTTTCCAGGTTTTAGCACTGTACTTTGCCATGACAAGGCAAGTCCTGTTTGATGGACACCAAAAAGATCCCAGTTGCCTACTCTCTAAAAGAAAGAGCTCAACACAACAGAGAGCCTCGATTATTAGCCTCTTTCTGTTTTCTTGATTAAACAAAGGC